CTTGCTCTAAACACCAGTGTTAAGCATATAGGTTGGCACACATGCTCAGAAGAGAAAAGCGATCACATTGGGCTGCTGCCTTAAAACACCAAGTGTAACTTCAAATCACTGCTTGATTCCTCAACAAAATCCTAAGTAAGATTCTTAGACCAACATAAACGAACTCCATTCTGAAAGAGAACTGCTGGTTGCTTGTAAGTTCATAATGAGGACTGTTTCCTACTGGGGCTTCCCTGGTGGCTCAGATGGTAAAGAATCTGATGTGGGTTTGATCTCTGGGTTGGGAAGATCCCCTGGAGAAGCGAATGGCAACCCACTCCCATATTCTTGCCTGGAAAATTCCATGGACAGAGGAGCCTGGTGGGCTACTGTCCATGAGGTCACAAAGAGCTGGACATGACTGAGCAACCAACACAATGAGAAGAGACACTGAGAAAGAATCTCTCTTATTGACCACTTGTGATGTAAAACATATTGTCAATTTCCGGTTAGTTTCTACCTCTCCATTTATGTTTCTGACATTACCGAAGAAGATGGATTTATATCAGTGAGGCACTGTGCATCTATGGTGACAGGGGAAAAATAATGCTGCTGCCTAAGAATGCCCTATAATTAAAAAAAAAAAAAAAGACACATACCTTCCAAGAACTGAACATAGTATAGTCACTTGCCAATTAGGGATCTAAATCACTTTCTCTCTTTTTTTTTTTTCCATTTATTTTTATTAGTTGGAGGCTAATTACTTTACATCATTGCAGTGGTTTTTATCATACATTGAAATGAATTAGCCATGGATTTACATGTATTCCCCATCCCAGTCTCCCCTCCCACCTCCCTCTCCACCCGATCCCTCTGGGTCTTCCCAGTGCACCAGGCCCGAGCACTTGTCTCATGCACCCAACCTGGGCTGGTGATCTGTTTCACCCTAGATAATATACATGTTTCGATGCTGTTCTCTTGAAACATCCCACCCTCGCCTTCTCCCAGAGTCCACAAGTCTGTTCTATACATCTGAGTCTCTTTTTCTGTTTTGCATATAGGGTTATCGTTACCATCTTTCTAAATTCCATATATATGTGTTAGTATACTGTAATGGTCTTTATCTTTCTGGCTTACTTCGCTCTGTATAATGGGCTCCAGTTTCATCCATCTCATTAGAACTGATTCAAATGAATTCTTTTTAATGGCTGAGTAATATTCCATGGTGTATATGTACCACAGCTTCCTCATCCATTCGTCTGCTGATGGGCATCTAGGTTGCTTCCATGTCCTAGCTATTATAAACAGTGCTGCGATGAACATTGGGGTGCACGTGTCTCTTTCAGATCTGGTTTCCTCGGTGTGTATGCCCAGAAGTGGGATTGTTGGGTCATATGGCAGTTCTATTTCCAGCTTTTTAAGAAATCTCTACACTGTTTTCCACAGTGGCTGTACTAATTTTGCATTCCCACCAACAGTGTAAGAGGGTTCCCTTTTCTCCACACCCTCTCCAGCATTTATTGCTTGTAGACATCCATTTATGATTAAAACTCTCCAGAAAGCAGGAATAGAAGGAACATACCTCAACATAATAAAAGCTATATATGACAAACCCACAGCAAGCATCACCCTCAATGGTGAAAAATTGAAAGCATTTCCCCTGAAATCAGGAACAAGACAAGGGTGCCCACTCTCACCATTACTATTCAACATAGTTTTGGAAGTTTTGGCCACAGCAATCAGGGCAGAAAAAGAAGTAAAAGGAATCCAGATAGGAAAAGAAGAAGTGAAACTCTCTGTTTGCAGATGACATGATCCTCTACATAGAAAACCCTAAAGACTCTACCAGAAAATTACTAGAGCTAATCAACGAATACAGTAAAGTTGCAGGATATAAAATTAACACAAAGAAATCTCTTGCATTCCTATACACTAAATCACTTTCAATGTACAGAAGCAGACACATTTTCGTTGTCTCCTTTCCCTAACAGAAACGTCCTTTCTCGTTGAAACAGTCTGCACTTTTATATGTAAAGTCAGAGATTTCTTAACACAAGCAGACCCAAGAAATGCCAGGGGACAAACACCACGTAAGGAAATGTAGCACGATGTTGCCTACGCCGCTGACGGTGGAGTGGACAGGAACTCCCATCCTCCTCCTCTGTCAAACCCCAGATCCACCCCGTTTCAAAAACACATGACTGTCTTCTCATAATTTGCCCTCTATCCTTCCCTTCCGGTAACTTTCCACAATTGCAATTATACTAAAAATGACGTAACAATCGTTCGAGAGTTTTACGGACAAAACCACTGGAGGAGATGTCAGGAGGGCAGGCGGGGATGTGGAGGGGCAGGCAATGTGACCTGTGTGACCAGGAGCCGGGGACCGCGGTCAGCAGATATGTATGAAATCAGAACAATGGTTACTCATCTCCTAGAGCCACCATAACACAAATGGGTGCCACAAAACCAAAAAAAACCTTACTGTCTCACAGTTCTGGAGGTCACCAAGGCCAAAAGCAAGATGCTGGCAGAGGTGGGTTTTTCTGAAAGCTCTGAGGGAGAATGTTCCATGCTTCTTCCTAGCTTCTCGGGGCAGACGGCAACCCCTGCAGTCCCTTGGCTTGTGGCCGCATCACTCTTCTCTCTGCCTCCGTCTTCACGTGGCCACCCCTCCCTCTGTGCGTCTCTGCCTCTCCCTCATAGATTTCTTATAAGGACACCCGCCATGTGAATGTAGGGGCCATCCTAATCTAGCACGCCCTCACATTAACTAGTTACATCTGCAAAGGTCCTGTTTCTAAATAAGAACATATTCTGAGGCTCCAAGTGGACATGAATTAGGGGAACACTCGTCGAACCAGTACGTGATGACGCGCTCACATGCAACCTTCCTATATACAAACCTGAAATGGGTCAGTGCACATTCATTCTTCCTCAGTCTTTCCTCACCTCTGTCTCCTATAATTGTGCCTGCCATCTACAGGCTTTCAGTCAGGTCTGCTGAATGATGAATGAAGGTATCTTTCAAGGCAGGACCCAAGCGCTTCCCTGGAGTGCGGATCTGATCAGGGATGGCTACGCTCTTACACAATCCCCATCCACTATCTCCGGAGTGGTTTTCTCCAACACAGATTGAGACAGTAAGGGGAAGCAAAGATGCGTGCAAAGCAATCGTAATGCAGGATTTTCATTTTTATAATCCTGCCCCACACCCTTTTGGCATTCTCAAATACTATAGTATTTAACTCATCCATTTAGTGAACACCTATGACATGCCGGCTGATCTCCCCTGGTGGGTCAGATAGTAAAGCGTCTGCCTACAATGCGGGAAGACCCGGATTCAATCCCTGGGTCAGGAAGCTCTCCTGGGGAAGGAAATGGCAACCCACTCCAGTGTTCTTGCCTGGAAAATCCCATGGACGGAGGAACCTGGTAGGCTACAGTCCATGGGGTTGTAAAGAGTTGACACGACTGAGCGACTTTACTTTCACTATGATATGCCAGGAATTCGTCTAAGTATGGGGAACGGGAGACAGAGTTCTGGGGTTAAACCAAAAAAACTGAAGTTTGTGGATTAAACTCTAAGGAGAGTTATGACCACAATTTTGAAATTACTTTTAATGCTGCAACTTTGCTAATCTTTGTTGCTGCCATATTTTCCATATTTTGTTAGCCATACACATTAAAAAAAAAAACAAAAAGCAGTTTGTGAACTTGTTTCAGGAAAACTGAAAAACAGTGGTCCACAATCTGGAAGGAAAGAAATAAAGAAAGGATGCAACTCAAAGAGAAACAGGCAAAACCCAGAGGGCTGAGGGTAAGAGGAACCTTGCCCAGAAAGCCAGTCAGACCAAACCAGGGTTGTGGATATTTCAACGCAACAGTTTTTGTGTTCCAAGCAATACTTCACCTCCTGAAGCCTCATCACAGTGGAACAGTTTAGCTGCACAACTTGGGAAGTTCCTACAAATGAGTGATAAGCTGTAGCCCTTATTTCATTGATTACTGTCTACCAACTCAGCCCATGAAAGGCAGGTCAACCTGAGGGGAGAACCCAGGCTCTCCCTGACCTCAGACTGCCTGCGTAGAAGAGAACCGAACACCTAAGGAAGTGACGTGGATAATACAAGACGTGTGAGGAGGAGTGTCTCTGCTATAGTGCCTGTTCCTCAAGATTCACAAAAAGCTGCTCCTGAAAGAACATCAACAGAGCACAAATTTTTCACTGATTCACTGTCAGCTTCACTAGGTGACCCACTAGGACAGGGGTGGGCCCCGGGTGAAGGCCACAGTGACAGACAAAACTTTACAAGAAGTACGGAGACCCCTGCTATGCCAGACGTTACCCTTCTGGTTGCCAGAAGTCTGGGGGAGCTGGGGAGGGGGCCTGGGGAGAAGGCCAGAGCAGCTGGGGGCACTCAGTGGGGCTCACGTAGCAGCTGTTGGACTGGCCCAAAAAGTTCATCTGGCTTTCCACAACATCACATGGAAAAATCCGAACGAACTTTTGGGCCAACCCAATGTTTATCAGCTACTATGGAAGAATTTTGTGTTATTAACCAGTAAGAGATAAAACACCAACCCTGTGTTTGGGACCTTAGAATAGGGGTTGGCAGACTTTTCTGTACAGAACAAGATAGGAAATATTTTGGCTTCTGTAAGGTCATATGGTTTCTGTCATAACTACTCAGTGCTACCACCGTAGTGCAAAAATCAGCCGCAGATAACAAATACATGAGTAAGTGTCTGGGCATGTTCCAGTATAACTACAGAAACAAGTGGCAGCCCAGTCAGAGCCTAAGGTATGTGGTTGGTGACCCCTGCCTTACAACAATGGCAGAGCTTACCATCCTATGGAGCAATCAAATCTCCAATCTCAACCTCATGAGCACAGTCTTACCAAATGATTTAACCAAGTCACTGATGATTCGTACCTGTGTTCTTGATCTTTACAGACCTCCAAGGGACTGAGTCAAAGTCAGCCATCCAACCACCGCAATGCAAATGAAGATACTCACCCAGAAAAATCTGTAGTGAGAATTCCGTAGTGGAAGATGTAGATTCTACTGATGTGGCAGATTGTAAGGTAGCCCATCGCTACAAAAAAGGAGTATCTGCAACCAAAAACACCGAGGATCAGATCATTGTGCATGCACTCAGTCGACTTTCTCTCCTTTCTCTCCCTCACCCCCCACATGTGATTAGCCACAAAGTCCTATCCGGCCCACCTCCCTCCCCAGCACATCCCTGCTCCTCACTTGCACACCCATGGCTCTCAGCCCTTCATCTTTTCTCATCTGGACCACTGCGGCCGTTCTCAACTCGGGCAGCATGACGGAATCACCTGGGGAGTAACTGGCCCCACCCCCCGAAATTCTGATTTCATTGATAAGGGTGCATCTGGCAGGTGTCGCTCCAACGTGCAGCCAGCGCTGCGAACCGCGGACCTGTAAGGTCCTGCACTCAGATCCTCCTCTTCCCAAACCATCCTGTTTACACAACGATCTTCCTAAAATACAAATCGTCCTATTGCCAACCACTCCCTTCCTGAAACACTTTGTTCCCTTGGCTTCCATGCTCCTTGTTTCCTTCCCAGCTCTCTGGTTCTTCCCAGGCTCTTGCTCAGCGAATCTTCCTCCCCCCTACTCCTCAGGTCTCAGCAGTCCCAGTGCTCTGCTCAGGACCCTCCCTGCTGATGCCCGAGGCTCCAATTTCCACTTTCTCTTGTTCACTCCCCGGCCTCCTTCAGAGGATCATCCTATAGCATAAACCAGCAAGGTACACACACACACACACACACATGCATGCCATTAAAAACATTCATCAACTTGAACATATAAAGATATGTGATAATCTGATTAACCACCATCTCCCTTACAAGCCTGAAAGTCCCATGAAAGTAAGGATGGTCATGTGTGTTTCATCCACCACTAGCTGCTACTGTTGCCAGTGTTGAATGAACACACAATAAATGAATGTTTCTTGACTTAAAAGTCGCAGGGGTCAATCCCTGGTTCGGGAAGATCCCACATGCCACAGGACAACTAAGCCTAAGCACCACAACTACTGAAGCCCGCGTGCCCTAGAGCACATGCTCCACAGCAAGAGCAGCCAAACGTACCGCAACTAGAGAGTAGCCCTCACTGTCTGGAACGAGAGAAAGCCCGGGCACAGCAACAAAGACCCAGCGCAGCCATAGATAAATAAAGAGCCGTTTAAAAAAAAAAATCTCGCTCATCCACCCCATCCCTACTCCCTACTGTCTAATCACATCAAAACTCCCAAATACAGCATTCAAGGTGCTTCACATGCTAAGCTCTACCTTAGCAGTTCTGAACTTTCTGGATCATGTTCCATGTCCATCATGTGCTAAACCACACCAGACTGCTCCCTTCCCACAATTAAATCCTGAATTTTCAGGTTTCTTTCTCCTTCCTCTGCCTGCAACTCTTTGCTCCCTCCTATGGTCTGTCTGGACACAAATTATCTGATATGGCTGAGCTCTAATGTTACCTAGCATAGTCTTGCTCCATCCACCCCACCCCAACTCCTAACACAATTCACGGCTCAACTGCCTGTGTTTCTCTAGTGCCACGTGCTAACATATACCATCATAACATTAAAATTACACATCTGTATCTGTTTCCCCAATTCATTGTGACTTTGAGCACCCAAACTCTTGCCCACCAAGTGGTTCACTTAACTATTAGTTGAAATGAACTAAACTGAGAACATTAAACACCTTGGAAGAAAGGTTATGATCAATCTAGACAGCATATTAAAAAGCAGAGACATTACTTTGCTGATAAAGATCCATACAGTCAAAGCTATAGTTTTTGCCATAGTCATGCATGGATGTGAGAGCTGGACCATAAAGAAAGCTGAGTGCCGAAGAATTGATGCTTTTGAACTGTGGTGCTGAAGAAGACTGTTGAGAGTCCTTTAGACTGCAAGGAGATCCAGCCAGTCCATCCTAAAGGAAATCAGTCCTGAATATTCATTGGAAGGACTGATGTTGAAGCTGAAACTCCAATACTTTGGCCACCTGACTCACTGAAAAAGACCCTCATGCTGGGAAAGATTGAAGGCAGGAGGAGAAGGGGATGACAGAGGATGAGATGGTTAGATGGCATCATCGACTCGCTGGACATAAGTCTGAGCAAGCTCCGGAAGTTGGTGATGGACAGGGAAGCCTGGCGTGCTGCAGTCCATGCGGTCACGAAGAGTCAGGAACGACTGAGCGACTGAACAAAACTGAGCTGAATGGTTCAGCAGCCCATCAAAAACAGACATAAATTCACAAGGATGATTTTCAAGCAAATGTAATAAAACTGGGAAGATGTATATTCTGATACCAAATGATGTTGAAATTCACAAATTCACATTAAAATAACTCATGAAGCCTGGATCAATCTCAGGAATAGTAAAGAAGGGATAATAAACATTCATTTGGTAGCAAGGGAAAGCAGGATGCTGAGCCAAATACAGTAAAGCATTCCACAACTTTAGCTCTCCTCATTATTTGCAAGCAAAGATGTTACCACACAGAAATGATTTTTCCCTCCCTTGGGTTCAACCGTAACCCTTTCCAGACCAAGAAGATGGTGCACAAAGCAAATGTTTAAGAAAAAACTCCCTTATGAGTTGAAGCACTAGAATGGAGTTAGACATTTTCCCTCCAGTATCTGTTCCCCTTCCCAAGCAGTTCACAAGGGTCAAGGCAGTAGCAGAAAGAAGATTCGAGAGACTTTTCCAGAATCCTTTCAAATCAAAAGGAGCTACACCCATGCCTTCCCAGGACCCCTCACCCAGAGAGAAAACCAAGTTCAATTCAATTATTATAATACAACCCACCTACCAAGGGTGGGGCCAAGTACGGAGTCCCCAAACAATAGAGCAATACATTCATTTCCCCTGAGAAGTCTGAATCCAGGCGCAGCAGACAGAGCATGTATTCTGGGCACAGACCAACATGAGTTCAAATCCAAGCACTGGCCAAACTCATCTGCAGGTGTGAGAAGTCAGGCTAGTCGTTATTTTAGGAAGGAAGGGTGTGGTAGAGATTGGAACATGAGTGACGGCAACACAATCCTCACTGACCTTCGTGGCAGTTGCAGGGGCGTATTCACTTTGTGAAAACTCACTGAACTGCAAAGCCATTTGTATACCTGAGGCTTTCCAGGTGGCACCAGTGGTCAAGAATCCGCCTGCCAACGCAGGAGACACAAGCTATGCGGGTTCGATCCCTGGGTTGGAAAGATCCCCTGGAGTAGGAAATGGCAACCAACTCCAGTATTCTTGCCTGGGAAATTTCATGGACAGAGGAGCCTGGAGGGCTACCAAGGGGCCAGACACGACTGAATGACTGAGCACACATACCCATTCACCTCTCTGAACTTTTCATCATTTTTCATCTCAGGGGAAAAAAAAAATCTATATCCTATAGACTTGTCCTAGAAAGAATATATTTGCCATAATGATAGGAAATAGTATATGTAACTGTATATTGATATACTCAATAAGAGTTTATGTATCAAAATAATGAAACATATTTAAGAGAGCTTGGCCTCAAAAGTTGGTAACTGCATCGCCAAGTTCCCACACGAGGCCTTCCATCCCAGGAGGTACTGTATTCTGTTCCAGTGGGTTCATATAAGGTAAGTGAACACTCGTGATTTTTGCCCAACAGAGTGGCCTGGGAAGGAAACAGAATCAGTACTCCACGAACTCTCTAGATAAATCCTGAGTAACAGGAAGCTCTACAGTGGGTTAGGTCCGCATGGCAGCAAGTACCAGTCTTTCCCCTCCTATTCCCAGCTATGCATAGAACACAACTCATCACTCAGGGAAAGGCAGAGGAAAACAATTCACAAAGAACCCAGCAATCTTGAAGCGAACTTATGCTCAAGCCATCCCCTGGTGGCTCAGTGGTAAAGAATCCTCCTGCCAATGCAGGAGATGTGGGTTCAATCCCTGGATCAGGAAAATCCCCTGGAGTAGGAAATGGCAACCCACTCCAGTGTTCTTGCTGGGAGATTCCATGGACAGAGGAGCTTGGCAGGCTACGGTCCATGAGGTCACAAAGAATCAGACAAGACTCAGCAACTAAACAACAAACACCATGACAACCCCCACATCGCATAGGCGGGAAGCCCGACATGCAAAGAAGCCGCCTGGCTTTTCCAACCTCATGCCGCTGGAAACAGCCAGGTTTCCTGACTCCTGCCTTCTGTTCTTTCCCAGCAGCAAGAGGAAACAACTGCCCTCCACGGGGAAATGTGAACCACTCCTGTCTTCGGCAGTACTGGCAACCACACAAGCACAGGAGGAGGAGAAGAACTTGTTCTGGCATTTTTTTCTTTTCAGTCTTATGACACGGCCCTCTGCTACCACAATGTTTTCGTGAAGAAACAGTCGGAGCCTGCCTGTGAAGGGATCTCCCTACCAAGGCTGGAGGATCCCACTCCTGGCTGGAGACTAACACAGCAAGCCTGAAAATACAGCTGGACCCTCTGAAAAATGGACCCCACCTCACCAGGGTCACACAGGTGCAGGGAGAGCTGACAAATTATAGTCTGTGAGGTAGCTGGAAACCTGCTTTAGAGATGCGACATTTTTATTCATCATTTAATAGCTTCCAGTGTCAAGTGGAGGAAAAGCCACACATTTTTACCTCCCACTGAAAAAAGGCATTTTGTCATAACATGAAGCATTTCCCAAATCCATTCTTAACAAATTATAGAAATACAGATTTCCTATTTCCCTTCTGAAGGAATGACTCTATCTCCTTTAAGAAAGACACTTAGCAGAGAGATGACTAGAATTCAAATTTCCCAAGTTCATTTGAATACGAAGTTCAATGACTATCCAAGTTAAAACCAGGCAAAAATATTTTCCCTTGCAAACCAGAAATTTATTGGAAGTAATTACAAGACGATACACTAAAAAATTAACTTCCAATGCTTTTAAGAAAGAAAACTATTGTGCTAATAGTCCTATTAATCAAAGAGTTTTCCGAGGTCGAAATAAGGCGTCTGCTTTCCCAGAGGAGTCATCAAAAAGGAAGGCAACGAAGGGTGAATGTCTTTTCAAGTATATTCAGTCATTCATTCCATAAATATTTACTGAGTCTTTACTTGTGCCAGGTATTGTTCTAGGCTCTGAGGCTACAAAAGTGGAGAGAAAAGTCTTTGTTTTCACAGAGCTCACATTCCAGTGTTACTGAGAGGGTGAATTAATTCTGAGGTTTCAGAAAAACCACAGGAATCAGAGACAGTACCACTCCAGGTATTTTCCTGGATTGTCCAAGCATACAGCCTTCAAGGTAAAATTAAATTACTTCTTCACTTTGAAGTCAAAATATAGTAAAGGATATTTCTTCCTTTTTTAACACTTCTTTGGGCATATTTAAAGTATCAAAAGTTTTGACACATGTCACACTCAGAAAATCAGAGCCAAGTTCAAGATAACAGACATATTCATCACCCCTCCCCAGGCTGGTTCACACCTTTTGTGATCCCTTTCACATCTCCCTGAGCCATCTCACCGCCAGTTACCCCAATCCGACTTCTGTCACTACAGATTAGTTTGCTTTTTTGAGAACAGAATTCATGAGATCTCCTTCATCCAGCACATTGATGTTGAGATTCATCCATGGCATTGTGTGTAGCAATCATTCATTCCTTTTCATGGCTGAGTAGTATTCCATAATGTGACCACTTTCCAGGTTGGTGCCATGACAAATGAGGCTGCCTAATTCTGATAAACTCTCTTTCCCCTGAGTCCCAGTTTGCATCACACATTTTTTTTTCAAACAGCTTTCTCCGAAGACCCCCAGCATTTAAGGTTTTCCATCCCTCCCTTCAGATATCCCAGAGAACTTAGGATATACCACATGTGGCTAATGGAGAAGGCATCCCTTCATCCTGGAAACAGATTTTAAAGATCATGAAAAACCTCACCTTGTGTTGTTCATCTCCAGGGTCTTACCTGTGAATATTGGATATGCTCGCAGTGACCATGATTCCATAGCACATTAACACCAGCACAAAAAGATGCACAGAATACCTGCAGGATATCGTGGGGAGAAAGGGAGGACACTGAATGTATTTCATATTATCATACCTTTTGGCGGTCTCCACCTCCACTCCCACCAGAAAGCAAGTGATCAGTCAACTCATGTATATTTAAGAGAAAATAAATCAAGTATTTTCATTCTATGCAAGTAAGATACCTTGATAAGTCACTAGGAAGTCATGACATAGACCTCCAACTGCAGAGAAGAGAGTTCTTTCTAACTTTAAAGTATCAAGACCAAAACTGAGCTGCCCCAGACACCATCACTTTGACCAGGGGGTGATTCAAAATACTCATCATCCTTTCTCAAATTTTCACTGGAGGAAGAGGAGCCATAAGCTACTACTCTGAACAAATTCCCTCAAGCTGGACTTCTAGAAATGTTCATTCCTAGAACTTCTTTCCTAAGAAGTGTCCCTCCCAGGGAACCTGCCCAGCTTACCTAGTAGAGAAAAGGCTTTCCCTGCTAAAGAAAGACACATTCCCGTAGACGGGCCCTAAAACTATTCTTCTACTCTAAGTGCAGGATTAATGCCAGCATCTCTAGCATTGATACAAGAAAAACACCAATAGTTATAACACTTAAGAAAAGTTCCTTGCTAGGAAAATTTAACCTTAGAGCATTCCATTTACATGACCCTGGGTGAGATCAGCAGAAGTCTAATTTTAAGAAAAACTCACTGAATTAACTTCTATTAGAGTCAATCTCTTGGTTTCAGTTTCTGGAGATTCCTGCAATATCCCCATTATTTTACAATAAGAGTAAATGTCATTTTTTTTCTTCCTTAGTGTCTGGGAAATGCTAAGAGTATCTCCACAAAAACACTCAAATGATAAACATTTAGAATGTAGGAGGTTCATACTCACCAGCCAAAACAAAAGATGACAAAATAGATGCCAAAAATGGTGGCAAACGCATGCCGGACATCAGGACTGGTTTTACCAGGACTCAAGTAGAGGCGGAACCAGAAAGCAGCAAACAACGCAAAGAGCTGGCAGGCCACAAAATTCACCTATAAGGGGAAATGAGAATCAGAACCTTTACTGTTTGGCCTGTGTGTGAATTTTCTTTCCCTCCTTCTTTCAGATTCTACATCAAGATGGCTCTCAGACATGGATGTTTTGCTCAGTAGAGCATTCATTTGGAGAAGGTTAAAAGATAACCATACCCTCATCTGGTAGAAGAAGTTATAAACCCAAAAGTTTCTTCTCCAATCCTTTGAGATGAGGCAAAGTTGATTTCCCACCGACAAACTGGAGACTTTTTTTTTACTGGAAAGAGCCTTAGTTGACTGTGAGGTCACTTTGCTGAGCGTCTTCCCTACCCCCAGCCCTTAAGATAAAGAAGGAATTCTTTTTGAGATGCAGATGAATCAAATCCTTGAAGTTTCCCTCACTGTGAAGTGAAGTGAAAGTTGCTCAGTTGTGTCCAACTCTTTGCAACCCCATGGACTACACAGGCCATGGAATTCTCCAGGCCAGAATACTGGAGTGGGTAGCCTTTCCCTTCCCCAGGGGATCTTCCCAACCCAGGGATGGAACCCAGGTCTCCCACATTGCAGGCGGATTCTTTACCAGTTGAGCCACAAGGGAAGCCCAAGAATACTGGAGTGGGGAGCCTATCCCTTCTCCAGGGATCTTCCCAACCCAGGAATCAAACTAGGGTCTCCTGCACTGCAGGCAGATTCTTTACCAACTAAGCTATCAAGGGAAGCCCCTTCCCTCACTGGTACCTAAGAAATCAAATGCTTCTCCAAAACAATCATCAGCTGGTTTCTCAGGGCTTTTTTAAAAGATTTTTTAAAATGTGGACCATTTTTTTAAAGTCTTTATTGAACCTGTTATAATATTGCTTCTGCTTTATGTTTTGGTTTTTTGGCCCTGAGGTATGTGGGATCTTAGCTCCCCAACCAGGGATCGAACCAGCAACCCGCTGCAGGGAATGAAGTCTTAACCAGAGAAGTCCCTCATCAGCTGTTTTCTGAGTCTAATTTTTCTCATTTTAAATTAACAACAAATAAGAGCATTGCCCAAATCCAAGGGGGTACCCCAAAGACCCTCAGAAAAAGAGACAGCCCTGCATTAAACTTTTAATATCAAAACTATCCAGTTATGCAAAATAGGTACTATATTTCCTTAGAAAAATCTCAATGACCTCTCTCTCAAAAATATTCTACCTGAAAGAAACTATAAAATATTTATAATTTCCTGATATCCTTAGCTATGCAGAGTACATCATGAGAAACGCTGGGCTGAAGCACAAGCTGCAATCAAGATTGCCAGGAAAAATATCAATAACCTCAGATATGCAGATGACATCACCCTTATGGCAGAAAGTGAAGAAGAACTAAAGAGGCTCTTGATGAAAGAGGAGAGTGAAAAAGTTGGCTTAAAACTCAACATTCAGAAAACTAAGATTGTGGCATCTAGTCCAATCACTTCATGGCAAATAGATGGGGAAACAGTGGAAACAGTGACAGACTTTATTTTGGGGGGCTCCAAAATCACTGCAGATGATGACTGCAGCCATGAAATTAAAAGACGCTTACTCCTTGGAAGGAAAGTTATGACCAACCTAGACAGCATATTAAAAAGCAGAGACGTTACTTTGCCAACAAAGGTCCGTCCAGTCAAAGCTATGGTTTTTCCTGTAGTCATGTATGGATGTGAGAGTTGGACTAAAAAGAAAGCTGAGTGCTGAAGAATTGATGCTTTTGAACTGTGGTGTTGGAGAAGACTCTTGAGAATCCCTTGGACTGCAAGGAAATCCAACCAGTCCATCCTGAAGGAAATCAGTCCTGAATATTCATTGGAAGGACTGATGCTGAAACTCCAATACTTTGGCCACCTGATGTGAAGAACTGACTCATTGGAAAAGACCCTGATGCTGGGAAAGACTGAAGGCAGGAGGAGAAGGGGACGACAGAGGATGAGATGGTTGGATGGCATCACCAACTCAATGGACATGAGTTTGAGTAAATTCCGGGAGTTGGTGATGGACAGGGAGGGCTGGCGTTCTGCAGTCCATGGGGTCGCAAAGAGTCGGACACAACTGAGCAACTAAACTAAACTGAACTGATAGCCTTAGGAAAGAGCAAGGGACTTAACACAAAATATATTGAAAGGTTTAACCATTAAATTAACCCTAGAAAAGTAATTTAGCCTTTTCAGAGTATTCAGAATGAAAACTTCAGTATCAGTTTGCTTTTAGAAGGGATCAAGGATATAGTATCTGAGTAAATCCTCAACTTCAGCCTTGACAGTTTTTTATGGTACAAAAAAACTGTGGCTGTTAGTGAAATTCATCAGGGTTATTATGCTCCATGGTAGGGCTGGAGGTAGGCGACATCAACTCTACTCCAGCTTAACTGTTTTGGTAATAAAAGAAAACAAGAATGCTCCTTATAATTCATAGGAAATACTTTTAGAGAATTTTATTTTGAAGAATTGACTGTGCTGATTTTCCCCTCTATTTGGAGATCACTCTCCACAAGTCTTTCCAAAAACATGTTCCCACTACAGTCCCACCCTCACTCTCTACCTTGAAAGACAGAGATGAAGTGAAGTTTGATCCTCTCTTGTGTGATCTGGTTGTATCTCTTTACAGACTAAATGTACAGCCAGCATCTCACACATAGGGACTTCCAGGCAGTCCAGTGTTAAGATTTCACCTTCCAATGCAGGGAGTGCGGGTTTGCTCCCTGGTCAGAGAGCTAAGATCCCACATGCCTCAGGGCCAAAAACCCAAAACATAAAACAGAAGCAATATTATAACAAATTCAATAAAGACTTTAAAAAATGGTACACATCAAAAAAAAAAAAACAAACCTTTAAAGAAAAAAACCTCATGCACACACAAATAGAAAAATAACTGTCTCAGCAAGGTTCTGAATGTAAAGGAACTAACAACTAGAAAGTCAAAGTTACGATCATCTGTAGGTGATCAATCACATGTTCCTTCCTTCTCTCAGTCCAGGGACCAGCCCACAGTGGAACATAGTGACTCAGAAGTGCAAACAAGGAGAAATCAGCTCCATTCTTTCTGGCTGGCCAGTAATCACTGAGCATCGCTGGCCATGGGGAGTGATTCAGAAAGGCTACCCACTCCAGTATTCTGGCCCAGAGGATTCCATGGACTGTATAGTCCAGGGGGTGGCAGAGAGTCGGACACGACTGAGCAACTTCCACTCACACTCAAGGGCTAGAACAGCAGTTCTCAGAAGTGTGGCTCCAGCCCAGCAGCCTCACCTGCAAACCTGTTAGAAGCACACACTCTCGGGCCCCACCCCTGACCTACTGGATATTTCCAGGGTGGGCCCAGCAATCTGCATTTATCATTCCCCCCAAGAGACTGTGATGCACACTCAAGCTTGAGATCCACTGGGCTAGAGGAGAAAGAAGGCATGATCTCTGCCTGCAGGAGCTTATAGTCTACCTGGCAACAGAACACAGATAATCCATAAGCAATTGTAAAATGACATTAACGCTATGTGCCCTTTACACCCAAAGTAAATGAGAAGTTCACGGTTAAGGAGGGATGCGATTCAGATGGACAATCAGGAAATAAATGAAAACTGAGGAATGTTAGGAACATTTAAAAATACTGTTGCCTAGGCCCTCTCCTCAAGCATTCTGATGTAACTGGCCTGACGACAGGACTTTTCAAAGCATTCAGGCGATTCTTCTATGCAGGCAGGATGGATACAACTTGGTTTGGAAGAAGAGAGTCCTGCAGAGGCACCCATCATGAGCTGGACTTTTCCAGAATGAAAAACACAGGATAGGACTGTGCAAGTTACGGGCAAGGATGAAGTGAAATAGATTTAAGAGTGATCAAAGCCTGCATCCATCACTCAGCCAACCCCAAGTCTCCTGAGCTGGGCTGGCTGTCTTCAAGACCCCTCTAAACCTATCTCCAAGGAACAGCGAGCCTCACTTTGGGAAAATCACATCTGACTTTGTTACCCTAGGGATTGAAAAAGAGAAAAAGACGACTCACTTGGCCATGGGAGCAATCTGCTGTTTTTTATAATCGTCACCGTAATATCATGTGTAACCAACAGAATGCCCTCGTTCTGCCACTAAAAGGTCAACTGGGTGGACTTAGGTAATTCATGCGTTCATTTCACAAACATTTACTGATCGACTCCATACATAGGATACTGGGGACAGTGAGCAAGACATTGTCACTACCCTCAAGTAAAGAAGAGGAAACTTTCATGCTCTGCGTTTCAATTCCTTTTGAAGTGGTCTTCCATCCCTAATGGATTCTGATTCCACATCTAACCAGAATCTTTTTCCCTGAACTGTTGGTGCCCAAATGCAACACTTCACTATGGATTAAAAGTTCCCCCCCTGGACACAAACACAACCCACCCCTCCACCTTCTCCCCAGCAGTGAGTCTCTAGCCAATCCTCAGATGGCGAGCTGAGGGTTCCAGAGCAAACTATTCTAAGGCGAAAATGAAAACACACAATGGCAGCACTTAGTTCTAGCAGGAAGGTTCTAGCAGAATTGCTTTTCAATTACTAGAGGTACATCCTAAAAGGTACCTGCTGAACCACAATTACATACCACTTCACACCCATTAGGATGGTGATTATTTTAAAAACAAAATAATGAGCATTGGCAAGGATTTAGAGAAATTAGAATCCTTGTACACTGCTGGTGGGAATCAAAAATGGTACAGTTGCTATGGAAAACAGTACGGTGGTTCTTCAAAAAATTATAATACAGCAATTCCACTTTTGGGTGTATACCCAAAAGAACTGAAAGCAGGGTCCTGAAGAGATATCTGCCCACTAAGTTTAGAGCAGCATTATTCACAACAGTCAAAAGACAGAAACAACCCAAATGTTTATCAACAGATGAATGGATAAGCAAAATGTGGTATAAATACATACAATGAAATATTGTTCAACCTTAAAATGGGGGAAATTCTGACACATGCTACAACACAGATGAACCCTGAAGATATTATCCTAAGTGAAATAATCTAGACACAGAAGGACA